ATTTTTTAACTAAAAGGTTCTTTAGGTTACTAATTTCTTTCATATAGTCTTCAGTAAGAATAATGTTATCAACATAAACAATAAGAATAGCTATTTTTTCTTCAAGTGAATGTTTGACAAACATGATGTGATTGGTCTGGCATTGTGAAAAACCATACTTTTTTACCACCTTTGTTAGCCTATCAAACCATGCACGTAGGGATTGTTTAAGACCATATAAAAATTTTTGAAGTTTACATACCTTGTTAGAATTGTTTTGGTTTTTGAATCCTAAAAGGATTTTTGTATAAACTTCTTCTTCTAGGTCACCATTAAGAAATGTATTTTTGACATCTAGCTAGTGGAGTGACCAATCTAGATTTGATGCCAATGATAATAACACCCTGATTGAATTAAGTTTAGCAATCAGAGCAAATATCTCCTTACAGTCAACACCATAAGATTAAGTAATTTTTTTGTAACAAAACAAGTTTGAATCTGTTAATGCTTTCATTTGCATTATGCTTGACAGTAAAAATCCATTTGCACCCCACTAAATTTTTTTTGGGTAATTCTGAAATCTCTGATGTTTTGTTCTTTTTTAGCACACTATTTTTTCCAAAATAACCATATTTCGTTTGGTTGTACGAATACTTCATAAATATTATTGGAAATTCGTATACTGTTTAGTATGGTAACAAAAACCCGATAACTAGGTGATAAACCTTTATAAGAAATCACATTACAGATTGGGTGTTGAGTACATGATCTCACACATTTTCTTAGAACAATTGGTTGATCAAGATCATCAAAAGATTCAATTGAATCAGATTCAATAAGAGTATTACCTATGTTAGTTTCAAGTATCTTTGAAATCAATTCAGATTCTTGGTTTTACTCTGAAAGTGTAAATTCTCCTAGATCCTTCTGAGTTTTATGTCTTTTTGAATAGACAATTAATTTTGTATTTATTTTTCCTTATGTGGACTTTGGGCTTGAAAAATTTAGTTCGATGTTTTGGACTTAAAACAAGCTTGGAGAATTTTGGTTAGATGTTTTGGACTTGAAAAGGAGTTGAATAAGTGTTTGGTGGTTTGGTAATAGGATCTTCCCATAGCTAATATTCTCATGTGATTGAATTTTCCCCCTAAATGGTAGTTTTGGTAAAGTAAAGTTGATTTTCAAAAAAAGTAACATTCATGGAATGGTAGAATTTTTTTGTTACTGATGAGTAATACTTGTATCTTTTTTTATTCAAAGAGTATCCAAGAAATATGCATTTGATGGTCTAATTTGCTTTAGTTTTGTTGGCTAGTAAAAACAAATGTAGTGCATCCAAATACTTTAATGGGAATAGACAAGATGATTCAAAGGTGAGGATAGGAACTGAGAAAAAATTAGCAAGGAGTTTGAAATTTTAGGACTCAATAAGGCATTATATTTATAAGATATGTAGCGGTAAAAATAACTTCATCCCAAAAATACTTAGGTACATGGGTAACCATCATAAGAGATCTTATAACTTCCAACAAATGTCGATTGTCTCTTTTAGCAACACCATTCATTTAAGGAGTATCGACACATGAGCTTTGATTAATTATACAATGCTTCATTAGATATGATCCAAGGATTGAATTATAGCATTTTTTCCCATTGTCGATTCTCAACACTTGGATTTTGGTTTGAATTAAGTTTGGATCATATTGTTGAAGTTTTGAAATAGCTGACCCATTTTTTTTTTTTCATAAAGGATATCCAAGTAACCTAGGTATGATCATCAATAAATGCAACAAACTATCCAAATCATTAATGTTGTTTATTCTGGAAAGGCCCCAAATGTCATTGTATATAATTGAAAAAGAATATGATGATTTATAAGGCTCATTGAGATATATGGTATGTGTATGTTTGGATAGTTGGTAGACTTCACTGAAAGTTGTTAGGATTTTTATTAAATAATAAGAGAAATAACCTTTTAAGGTACAAAAAGTTTGGATGACCTAACTGATAGTGCCACAACATTATATTACTAAAGGATGAAACCACACAAGAGGTTTTCTAATATTATCTTTCAAAATCATTAGCTCTTATGATATAGAGTCTTACATACATCTTAGCATTGCCAACCATTTTTTTCAAGTTCAAATCCTGAAATTCATACATATTTGAAAAAAATTTAGTAATACACTTAAAGCCTCTTGTAAGTTTGCTTATAGATAGTAGATTGTAATTTAGATTTGGGACAAATAGAATAGAATCAAGTGTTATATCTTTGAAAATAATAACAAAACTTGTGTCGATCACTTTTGAAAGTGATCTATCAGTAATTTAAATTGTGAAGTTTTCATGACATGGGTTATATTTATTGAATACAAATGCATCCCCAGTCATATAGTCTGAAGCTCCTAAATCTATAATCCATGAATTTGATTTCTTTAGTTTTACACTCGAGGCATTTAGAAAATTACCTTTTGTGCTAAAAACCTACTCCAATAACGTTAGCTCTATGGTTGGAGGAACCTACGACGCTAAGCTCTCATTTCCGCCAGCCATGTTAGACTTAGAGTGAAAATTTTCAAAGGTTTAGATTATGCTCTGATATCCTGAAGAAATCTCTAAAATAAAATTATTTTATTATTTTATATTTTTTTTATTGCAATACTATAATTGCATAAAAATATATAAGCTAAAAATTGAATATTCTCAACCTTAAAATCCAATATTTTAATGCAATAAAATAACTAATCAAATGAGTAATTTACTCTCTACACATAATAAAAAAATATCTAATGGATTTGGTGTTATTACCCAAATCACTCATTGTTCTAAAAATAAGATATTTAACTAAAATAGATAAAGTCAATCGATCAAGTAATAATGAAGATTAGATTTTCACAATAAATATTGTACTATTGTGCATTTTGACTATTAAATGCATAAATCCTAACCCATCAACTCAACTTTATTTTTCTTTCCATGGCAGTAAGATTATCATGTGCTCAAATTTAAAGACTACAACATGGACCAAAGTGTATCAAGTATTATAGATCCTATTAAAGTTGTACACAATCCAAGCAACAATGCTACTGCTTATGGTGCTTTTGCTTTTGCATGTAGATCTGGTTGTGCATCTACATTATTATATGCTTCAACTAATATCTTTGGTTTTGCATCTACATATATATCTGCACATGTTTCAAATCCAGTTTCTAATCTAGTAACAAGTTCAATTTCCAATCCAATTTCAAATCTAGTTTCAAATTCGATTAATGTTGTTATTGTTGTTGCCATTGAAAATGCAAAACTTAAGTCCAAAAGACCAACAACATTTACTGAAAGATGTTTTACATATGAGGATGGGACATTTTATGAGATGACTAGTGAAAAAACAAGTCTCTTATCAAAGTCAAAGTCCTTTATAACAACCATTGGTAAGATAACAATTCTAGCAAAAAGCATTTGAAAGTCACAATGAGAATAACACTGTAGGTGCTTCAACTAGAAGCAAGACAAAAGACATGCAAAGTTATGGATTATATACAAACTTAGAAATAGGGAGACAAATTTTGAATGTGAGTGATTTTTTATCAAACATATATATTTAGGTTTTTGTTTTATAAAATATTACTCATTCTAACTTGATAAATATAATTCAACAGCTAGGATTAAAAAGTCAAAAAGTAATAACAGTTGGGACAAGTAGAGATGAAAAGAAGGTTGTTGAGGATGGTGTTCAAGAAAATCAAGTTCTAGTTTCTAAAAGAAAAAAAAGGAAAACAAAAAATCTAATCAATTATAACCTTTGTTGACTGTTACTGCTAAAATAATTTGGTTTAAGCTATTATGTTAACTTTTTTTTTGTTAATATTGTAAGAACAATTTCTATTCAACCTTCTGGTGGCTGAATGTTTTGTTGATTGAATGTTGTGTAAAAAGACATTCAGTTGATTGAATGTTAACTATTATTAAATTGCTTTGTTATAAAACATAACATGTTATGTACTTATTTTCATTAACAGATTACCTCTATAAATACAACCATTTTCTATTTATATTTCTATTTCTAATACGGTTATTATCATTATCAAATTACTTTACTTATAACATATTATAAGTTAAATATTTTACACATAACCATATTTTTATTATTAGATTCCAAAGCAACAGAATTTACATCTAATAATATTGATTCAATTGACATTAACATAATAAGAGTTTAAATTTTAAATCTAATTGAGGCAATTTTCATTGAAAATTTTATTATCTGATTTTGAATTTAAAAAATAAATCATTACATTGACTCTAACTTAATTTTATTTAAAAACAACCGATATTATAGAATCAATTAAGATCAAAACCTAACGATGTGCTTGTTTTGCCATCCTTATATTTTACACCTTTACACCCCACATCTGTCGCTTATTATCACCCCTTATAAGCTACTAACCTAACGCAACAAGTTGACCCTCCTTCTATAAATTTTACATGTACCAATTTTTTTTTGTCTGTGGTAATATTGTCATTTGATGGTTTGAAGTATGTAATCACTAAGTTGATGACGTGACATTTGTTAAAAAGTAAAAAATTCAAAAAAATTGGTAAGCTAACATGTTATAAAAATAATAAAAAAATAAAAATATTCGTTTTAATTTAATCTTAAATTGATTTAAACTCAAAAATGATATGAAATATATTGATTTTTTAATAATTTAATTTGTTTAACCCAAATTTAATTAGATTTTAACTCATGATAATTTAAATTTAAAATAATTAATTATTTTTTAAATTAAATTCAACTTCGAATTCAAAATTGTACAATTTTCCCTCGTCCAATAACTATTCTATCCAAAACAAATCAACAAAAACTCAATCCGAGCCGCTGTTTGTCGCCTCAACCCAAAACCTAACATGCACAAACGTCCAAATCATAATAATGTCAAAGGACACGTATGTGCATTGTTTACCTACTCTTCAACAGCCTGTCACATGTCTACCAGCCTACCTAATCCTCTTACTTTTGTCGGTGGACCTGCTTGTTTCGTTACCACTTATCAATCCAAAATCCCTATCTTTTTTTTTTTTTATACAGAAATCCCTTTCATTTCTATGTAATAAGTAGTTCAATTTCGAAGGATTCCCTTAAAATTAGAGAGATCTGTGCTTCTGATCAGAGAGAATTAAACCATGGCAAAGAGCGATGTGAAAGTTTTGGGTTCCTGGCCGAGCCCATATGCGATGAGGCCGAGGATTGCCCTTAACATCAAGTCCGTTGACTACGAATATGTTGAGGAGAGGGTATGGGAAGGCAAAACCGAGCTTCTTCTCCAATCAAACCCTGTTCACAAGAAAATCCCAGTCCTCATTCATGGTGATAACCCAATCTGCGAATCTCTCAATATTGTACAATACATCGACGAGACTTGGTCTTCTGGTCCTTCCATTCTTCCTTCTGATCCCTATGAAGGTGCCATCGCTCGTTTTTGGGCTGCATATCTTGACGAAAAGGTATTCGTCATTTGTTTTGTTCTTGCAAAATGGTATTTCTTCTTCTTACAAGTTTTTTTATTTTTTTTATGGGGTTAAATTCTTTCTTGTGCAGTGGTTCCCATCCATAAAATCTATTGCTATTGCTCAAGGAGAGGATGCAAGGAAAGCTGCAATAGCTCAAGTGGAAGAAGGGTTGGCGCTGTTGGAAGAAGCATTTGGCAAGTGTAGCAAAGGGAAGCCTTTCTTTGGTGGGGATCAAATTGGGTTCCTTGACATTGCATTTGGAAGTTTCTTGGGTTGGCTGAGAGTCACTGAGAAGTTTAATGGGATGAAGCTGCTTAGCGAAGCCAAGACTCCAGCTCTGGTTAATTGGGCTGACAGGTTCTGCTCTGATGCTGCTGTGAAGGATGTTATGCCTGACACTGAGAAGCTCGCGGAGTTCGGTAAGATGGTTATAGCCAAAATAAGAGGTGCTGGAGCTGAAATTCATTAATTTAGGAGATTTGCTGGACGGAAATGACTCTAATCTATGTGCTGATTGGAGAGTGGAATTAAATTTACGATGTTTTGAATTACGTTTGGAATGCAAAATAATTATGTAGCTTTTATATATATATGTAGCATATTCCAGTAATGAAGCTTTTTACTACACATTTTCATGAGGCTTTTCTTTGGCTTGGATTTGATTGGCATCCGAAGGTTAAGTTTCATATTATTGCTCTGTTTGATTTGATAGGTAACAAAGGAAAAAAAATCTAATAATTAAGTTATAAAATAAAATTTATATAATACGAATTTCATTTATTAAATTACAAAAAAAAATTCTTTTTTTTTTATCATACTTGTTACTATAATTTTGAAAATCTTTAGACAAAAATTTTTTAAAATATTTTAAACAGAAGAATTGTTATCAATTTTTATTAAGTGTAATTGATCATATAAAAATTTATTTTTTAATAAAATAATAAAAATAAATTTAAAATTTATTTTAAAAAATTATTTTAATTTACAAAATTAAATTTAGATTTAAAAATTAACTATGCATAAAGAACAATCAACTCACAATATTTATTAAAAAAATTAATATCAATTAATTATATATTATTTTATTAATGATATAAATGATCTTAATTTTTTTTTAACAGAAATGCAATTCATTACTCAAGCCGAAAATTACAAGCACCGTGCAACGCCTCAGCGATTACAATAGGATGATCTTCAACCCAGTATCTATCACATTCTTGCTGTAAACTATAGCATGCAAGTTGGTGTGCTGCCCTATCCCCTGTTCTCCCTGCATGCATGATCCTGTAAGATTGGAAATTGTTAACCTCCATCGTGCTTCCTCTATAATCTTGTCAATAGGAGATTCATCAGGCCTATCATCTGTAGCTTGTTAATCGCTTTCAAACTGTCCCCTTCTAGCTATATTTTAGGAATGATTTTTTTCTCCTTAAAAAATTTTTTATTTGAAATATTTTTTTTATTCTTTAATATCTAAATAAAATTTCGAAAAAAAATTTTTCTCAGGATTTTCACACCACTCTCTCAAATATTTCACGTAATATTATTTTATAAAGAATAATTTTTGAGAAGTCTTTTAATATTTAGGTAAGATACCAACCATTATTTTCACATAAGCATATTAATCATTATTTATAAAAAACTGATTTGAAAATTATCAATTATTAATTCTCAGTTTATTTCAAGTCATAATGTAACAAGAAATAAGTGAATGATGCAAAAAAAAAATTAACCAACTTGACCTATTTTATATGCGTTTAACTTACTTCTTATCATGATTTTTAAAAGAAAATTAAGGGTGAAATAAATTTTATTTTTTTATTTATTAATGATAAAAAAAATTTTAGTTTCTCAATATCTAGACGAAATTTGAAAAAATTAATTCTTTAAAATATGATTTGAATTCCTTCCAATATTTAGGCAAAGTTTTCAAAATCATTTTATTTTTATTTTTTTCTAAAATCCATGTTGAGATTACAAAATTATTTCAATCTATTTTTATTAAAAAAATTTTATATATTTTTTATCAATAACTTTAATCACCTACAAATAAATTTATTTTCAAGGGTGCTTAATGTTAAATGAACATGAAAAAAAAATGAATACATATAATAGCACATTAAAATAAAAGGAGAGAAAGAAGAATATACCCAAATATATATATATATATATATTTTTGAGCTTAAACTCGAAAAGGGACCAAGATAAGAGGAGGAACAACTTTGATGAATTTCTAGGTTAGGCCTACATGGGTCGACTTGGACTTAGTTGGTTGGGTCGGGCTTAGTAGATTTCTCTTTTTATATGATAAAACCCCAAAACCCCTCGTTTAACCGTTCCCATTTCCCTTTTCTTCTTTTCCTTTTCTCCTACTTCTTCTCTTTTCATGCTGATAGTTCCCCCCTTTTTTTCTTCATTTTTTCCTTTTCCTCATCTCTTCTTCTCTTTTTCCTTTCCTCTTCTCTCCATTTATTCCTTCTTTCAGTTGTCAATCCTGGTTTTTTTTTTTATCATTTTCTTTTTTTTTCTTTATTGTCGTTGTTGCTGCCTCTTCCTCACTTCTATCAAGCCTTCAAGCCCAAATAACCTAAAAATGAATTGATCAGGCTTTAACTCATACAAGATGATCACAAATATTTAATATAAAATAAAAAATAAGCTTAGTAAATTAAAACGTTTGAATCACTCAAAATTGACACGTTCAACCCAAAATTGAAATCAAACACAGTCAAATTGTCTTGGACAAAATTAAATGTCTACAGTTATTATTCTTTGCATATTAATAAGAATAAATAATAGTGTAAAGCTATAAACAACAATTTTTTTTTCGAAGTCGACAATTTAGGGATTTTTCAAAAGTTGTTTTTAATTTTGTTTTTTTATAGATTTTTAAATTTTTTTAGGATTTATTATTTTTTGTTTTGTTTTGTTTTTTTAGAGGCTTTGCAAATTTTGAAAGCTCGACAATTTTAAAAATAAATTTAAAAGCTCTTTTAAGCAAAAACTTGACAACTTTTAAAAATAGATTTAAAAACTCCTTTATGCAAAAATTTTTCAACTTTTGAAAATAGAATTAAAAACTCATTTAGGTAAATGCTTAATACCTTTTGAAAATAACTTTAAAAGCTCATTTAGGTAAAGACTCAATAACTTTTGAAGACAAGTTTAAAGGCTCTTTTAGGTAAAGGTTGAATAATTTTTTAAAATAAATTTAAAAACTCATTTAGGTAAAGGCTCAACAACTTTTAAAAATAAATCTCATTTTGGATGGCTTGACATCTTATCGGTGCTAGCTAAATTAGTTTTAATTCTTTTCGATACTAACTAAATTGGATTTAAATATTTATAAATACTAGCTAAACTGGACTTAAATTTCATCTAGATGTCAGATGAACTGAGCTTAAAATCTTATCTAAATGCTAACTAAAATTAGGCTTAAAACTCATTAGTGCCAACTAAATCAAGCTTAAATCTTATCGGAGTCAGCTAAACTATGCTTAATTCTTATCTGGATACTAGCTAAAATAAGCTTTAAATCTTATTCGTGCTAGCTAAGTTGGGCTTAAATCTCATCGGGGTGCTAGCTAAACTGAGCTTAAAATTTTATCAAGGTATCAGCTAAAATTGTGCTTAAAACTTATTGGTGCCAACTAAACTGAGCTTAAATCTCATTAGAGCCGGTTAAACTAGGTTTAAATCTTTTTAATACCAGCTAAAATTGGGTTTAAAATCTTATGTAGGTGCCAGCTAAAACCGGGCTTAATTTTTTTTTTTTTCAAAATTTCTTAATATTTACTCTTTCTAAAATAACTCAACTTATTATCATATATCATCTTTCTCATTCATTTCTTCAGCAACTCCTCATATTTTACAAATTCTTTTTTGACTCTTTGAACATTTTTTTTTTATTTTTGCCTTTCATTAAAACTATTTTTTCTTCTTTTTATTTCTCTTTTTTCCCATGTTATACTTCTTTGTCTCTTTTGTTTTTTTCTTTTTCTTTTTCCCCATTTTTCTTTCTTTTTTTCTTTTCTTTTCTTTCCCCTTTTTCTTCAAACTCTTTCCCTTTATCTTTTTCTTTAATAAACTCTTTTTTTCTTGTCTCTTGAACTAGGAGATTTTTTTAAAATTTTTTTTTATAAACTTCCCTTTTTGTTTCCTTATTTTATTTTCTAATACTTAAAATGTTTTTGTTTTTTGTTTTTTCATTTTTTCTAATATTTACAAAGTTAACAAATGTAATCATGACACAAATGTCTATTGTCAATAAATGATGTGAATATAAATGTCTTTATGCGAATAAAAGAATGTATATTATGACAATTTTTTCATGATGCAAATACTCGATGCAAATGCAAATTTTTTCTTCTCTTTTATGACCCAAATGTATCTAAGAAAATGCATGACAAATTTTCTTACTAGCGAATTTCTTTTCTATAATGCAAATGCCTCTTATGAATGCAAATGTCAATGCTCATACATGACATGGATGCCCTAAAGATATAAATGCAAATTTGCAAATTGAAAATTTTTCTCTTTTTTTTAGCATTATTTGAAACCATAGAACTTTATTTCACAAAGGTCCATGCAAATGTAGAAACTTCATGATGTATATGCCCCAACATGAATGTAAACACTAAAAATACTCCTTTTTTCAAAGAAAATTCTTTCTTAATTCTAATTGTCTCCCATTTCCCATCTAATTAAACTTTTAATTTCTTCCTAAAATGATCTCAACCTACTATTTTCCTATTCCTTTACCTATTTCATCTTGTTTTTTTACCAATTTTTACCTTCTTTGCTTTCAAACAGGTTTTTTTAATTTTTTTTTTCATTTTCAACATTTTTTTTATAGTTTCAAACATACAACATGCAACATGTGCTTTAGACTTAATTGCAAAAGCAAAAAGACAAACCACACAATTTACTAGATATGATCTCTTTATTTTACCCAAAAATGCATAACTAGTTGTTCAAAAATTTTCAAAATGGTTAATAAAATTGCCCCACATAATTAAATTCATAACCAAAGTTAATGTAATATCTAAACAAATGTGATTGTAGGAGTCTTTTGGAAATTGGCATTCCCTATTAGAAATGAAAAATGTGATGATTTTCTTTTCAAACAAGTTGAATGGTTCAGCACATCAAGATTTCAGTTCATTCAAAAAGGTTTCATAACTTAAAAAACACAAAAGAAATGTATACTATTTCTTTAGACTCATAAATAGAACATAAATTTTTTTAAAAAGTATGAATCTCTTGAAAACCAAACATGTTCGACACTTTCTTCATTTTTTAAATGTGGCCTTTTGATAAATGTTAATATCAATTATGATAGGTTCAAAATTTTGGAAGATCATTTAGGAATAAGGAAAAAACGCTCAAATTTTCAAAATCAATTCTTTTTTATGCATTTTAGACTTTTGAGATCTCGATATCTTTGAATCTTTCAAAAGGTTAAAGTCATTTCTTATTGACTTCAATTATTTTGCTTGGTATTTAAAGTGGTTTCCAAGTCTTCCAAGTATGCTATAAATTACCCTTTTTTAGGGTTTTCATCCTAAAGCCACATCTCTTTTTCTTTTTTTTTTCTTTTTATTATTACATCATGTACTTAAGAAT